CGCGAGGGGCTGGGGCGGGATGTGGTGTTTTTCGCCGTCAAACTCATAGCAGCCCGCGGCGCTCCCGCCGGTGATCTGCGAGGCGTAGACCCACCACGACCCCATCGTCTGCCGCCGCTCCCACGCGACGCTGAGGCTGACGCACCAGCCCCCCGCCTCCGCGAGGCTCCCCGCGCTTACAGGCTGCCCGCCCTCTCCTTCCTTTCCTTTTGCCTTTCCCCCCCACAGCGCGTGCATTGGCCGCAGGAGACAGGGCATGGCGCCCGCGAGGTCGCAGTGGAGGAAAAGGTCCCCCGGCCGTCGCCCCCGGCGGAGGAGGCGCTCCGTCGTCTGCAGGTCCCGCCCCCGCAGGACAACATCTCCCGCCGAGGTCAAAAACCAGCTCAGCCGTTCCCACCACCCCGGCCGCCGCGCGAGGTGGAGAGGTTTTTTTGTCTGCTGCCGCGCGGCCACCCGCTCGGCCTTGCGTGAGGCCCCCGCCGCGGCCTTCGCCGTCGCTGCGAGGGTCTTCGCCAGCTTCGCCCGGTTCGCTTTTTTCCGCGCGAAGTACGTCGCGGCGTTTGCGTGCGCGCCTTTCGCGAGATCCAAGTCCACCAGGACGGGGTGGACCGCCGCGTCGTCCTCGTCCTCGCTCAGCTCCCGCTCCAGCAGCACCCGCAGCTGGTTCGTCTCGAGCAGGAGCTCATGGATCATGTAGGCCACGGGGTGGCCCTCCGCATGGCGGCGTTTCAGAAGCGCCCGCAGCGCATCCCACTGAATCCCTGAGGCGAGAACGCCGTTAATCAGGTCGATCGCCTGGTCGATCCGGTCCGCGTTGAGGAGGATAAGCATGCCCTTCTGATCGTTTAGCGCCTCCTCTTTTTCTAGGTTGTTGATTCGCCGATGGTGATCTGTCTCAAAGCGCTTTCGCTTGTTTTGAACAATCCCTTGGTTCTTTTGGTTGTGCTGTTGGATGCGCGTGGTCTCACTCCACAGGAAAAAACTATCACACACATGACCAAAGCTCGGATGATACTCAACCCCCGACGTGGATTTTGGCGATTGGTGCTGAGCGAGAAGTATAGGGGTAAAGTCCTTATAGTGCTTCGCCACGACCTCTTCGCTGGCTTCGAGCGTCGACATGCCGTCGAACGGCCCCTCGTTAGACTTCTCCTCCTGGAAAATAAGGTAGCCACCTGGACTCAGCGGCTGATGAGCAAGATCCAAGGTCACCTGGATTGCCGGCAGGAGTTTCTGGAAGACTTCCTGAAGAAAATCAGGGCCGGTGGAGGACGCCTCGAAATCCTTCTTTTTCATTTTTGTGACTTGTGTGAGAGACATGATGTGCTGTGCGAAGTTATGGCCAAGGTGGCGTAGGGCGGCAAGGATGTCTTTGAGGGTCTCATGCGCCTGGGCGCGCGCGGCGGTGGCTGCAAACTCCTCCGCAAGGCAATCCACGGAGGAAGAGGAGGATTCCACGGCGTTGCAGGACGTCGTGGTTTGCCCAGAGACCTCCTCCAGTACCGGGTAGACCCCGTGCACGGCAAGCTGGACGTCCTTATCCTTGTGTGTGCGCAGGAGCATTAGGATCGTGTAGGTGTGATCCGTCAGAATAATATTTCCCTTTGCGAAGAGCTCGATAACAATGTGAAAGCAGCTTTCGCCGCCCGCCACACCGAAGCACAGGTCCACGGTGCGATCATGGTGAAGCTGCTTGATGCTGCTTAGACGCCAAGCCCGCACGTGCTTGCGGAGCTTCAGCGTGAACTGAGAAGGCAGCCTCGGCTTCTCACGACTCAGCTGAGTGAGGTGCATGCGAAGTCCATTTTCGATCAGAACCATCTTTTTATTTTCACCGTGACCAAATTTAAGCAGGAACATAGTTGTGGAAATGTCATAGATATTTAGGAGACGAAGCCCTACCAGCGCAGACTCCATCTCCAGTACACTGGCGTGCACATCCAGCGCATCCATACGAGACTTAACCATTATGAATAATGTTAACACTTTCTTCTACTTTTATCAACCCAATACACTTTTCTTTGTAATGTAATCACACTGCAGATACTAAACTCACAGGCCCAATAGGATAAAAAAATGGGGATGTGTTGAAAGTTCTGTAAAACACAATAGTTCTACTTGGAAGCTGGAAGTGAGTGACACAGACGCACATAAAAACGGCGATAAAGACCTTTGAGAAAAATAATCCACATTAAGAAAGGAATGAAAGAGACATTAGAAAAGCAAATATAGGATATGAGTTTGAATGTGGGTGAATATACATATATATATATATATATATATATATATTTATTAGTT